GCTGCGAGCGAGCAGTGTGCTCACCGTCAGAGCTTTGCAAAACTCAGCGTTTGCACTGTGTTGAGCCCTGGGCAGAACATGGATGATCAAATGTGACAGCCCTGTGTTATAACAGCTCCTGATGGAGGTATCTCTGGATGGGAAGAAAGGTTAGAATTTAAGTCAGTGTTTTATTATGGCTTAAAAACTTACTGACCTGACTGAAGAATTATAGCCCCATGGGTAACGGTGGTGATGGAAACAGAATGAAGATTATTTCTGGCTTTAACGCCCATGAACCACAGCGCTTCCACGTGTGCTGCATGCAGTGGCCCCAGATGCCACAGTGAATGGGTGGCCTGCCCCTGGGACAAGCTACGAGGCAGGGCAAGTGCGACATGGTGTGAGACTCGATAAATGACACAAAGCTCAACCCACAGCCTTCTGGCTTGTTTACTCCATGACCTCAATGCACCGGCACACCTGGACCACCCAGAAACCTTCCCCAAACAAATTTGGTCACTTTGGTCTTGGATCAGCTGTTTCCAAGTGAATCTTGGCTCCTGTCCATCTCCTGCTCCCTGAGGCCCCCCTGGAGCAATGCCCTGCAATTCTGATGGAGGATGAAGACCTACTGAAAAGGAAACCTTGTCTCTAAAGTCTTACAGAGAGGCTCATGGTGGGACAGAAAACCGGAACACTGAAAGCACAGATACCAGGAGCCTGTACCTATGATGTCTTGGTTCAGAACACAGGTGAAACAGCTTGGACAGGCACACTAGAACTCAAACCACCAACTTATAAAATACATCACCTTAGAAATGTAAAGTGTTTTCATAACGGATCTGCTCATGAAGCAGAGACAGGAATAGGGATTTTTTGGATTCATTTTCTGAAAATATGTTCCACTTAAACATCCAGCCCCCAAGTTTGCACAAAGGCAGGAAAAAGGAGGTAAGATTTCCCCTCAGTTTGGCTTCTTTCAGAAAAACAGGCCCATCCCACCACAGCTCAAAATCTGGCTAAAGAAAACTGGCTGCCCATGAGGGAGAGAGCAAAATCTAGAGTCTTCTCTGCAGACCAAACCACCACGTGACCCAAGCTAAAGATACCCACCAGTCTCTATGGTCATGACTGCTGTGGAGTCCTAGTTCAACAGGGAATTAACTCTTCTAACTGACTGTTATCCAGAACTGCTGGACCCTGATGCCATACCCAATGAAGGGTTCAAGCTATGCATATATACTAGGTGGTGTGAACATGGCCCACTGCTCATCTTCCACTTCCCGGTGGTCCCTGCCTGCAATGTTTCAATGCAAGGTATGTGAGTGTATATACTGGAGGCAAGTTGCTCATCCATCTACTAACATTTGAAGAGGCTTTGGAAGAGGCTGGGAGGCACTGTGAGTCTATGCTGTGTCCTGACGGATCCAACAAGGCAAGAGTCAGATATTGTGAATTCTCCTTTCACCTCCGCAAAAAGACTTCCTACAGGAGCATCCTAATGCCTGATTCTGCTTTCTCTCACCATAGGAAACCATACACAAAGGGAGAAAAATGGAGATTGTGTGACATTATACAATCACTGTACACTGGCCTAAAAGACTACACAAGGGTCAAGGAAATACATGGATAAGCTTAAGGGGATTCTTCTGCCATAGGTAAAATGGCGATAGCAATGCACAGAATGGGGTTGGGAGCCACTTTTCTGAACATTCACAAATGCTTTGCCATTTTACACAGGATACTCCCCTGTAGAAAGCCTGAAATTGTGAAGAAATGTATTTTTCAGGGGTTATAATATAAAAATTAATGTAATTGCTGAAATCAAAGTTTTCAAACTTCACCAGTCTACAAATTTGCAAAAATTAGAAAAAGTATCTAACTGTATAATTAGGTGACTGTGAATAAAAGCCAGTCTATTAGTTCTTCTATTGTCACAGGGATGGGAGGACTCAAGAAATAGTTGATGCAGAGGGCGCAAACAACCAAGACATCTTTGACATGAAAGAGTACACAATCCAATATACAGTTCAGGAAAGACAATTCAAACTTTTCACAAGGCATAAAAGTCAGTTCAGTTTCTATTTACCAATGACATTGGAAACCTAATGGAAAATGAAATCATATTCCTTATTTTGTGTTCATTTGCATACGAATTTCTCTAGTTTTTCAGAATATACATACACACTTGAGATAAGAAAAACAAACCTTGCTTAACCCCAATCACACAGTTGTAATAGGATGAATTTCTTACCGGGTGGCATTTTCCAAAGCCCTGGAAAAAGACGAATAATCATCAGTTGAGTGTTCAAGGGAATAATACCATGTAGCTGCATCTTCAATGAACGTGTTGGAGTCTTCTCCTCCTAGAGAATTTTGCAGTGCCTGATAAAAGGCTGTTTTGCTGTTGGCTCTTCCTTGGCTTTCTTCAAATTTCTGAGAACAGAATGTATACATGGAATTTACAAACAAAAACAAAAGATAGATTTTTAATGGAACAATATAGGCTCGGATCTCCCTCTGCTGAAATGAGTCCTCTCTGCTGTGGTCTCTGATTCCTAGGGGAAGAAGTAGGGGACAGTCCTACTTTTGCTTTCCCAAGACTGTCACCAGCCAGCTGTATTGGCTTCCTCAAGACAGACTATAGGGCTGAATTCCTAAGCTGGTAAATCCAACTCACAGGTACAGTGCTGTGCAGATGTAGCTCCAATACTACAGGAACACAGCTGCCTCCCACAGAAGAAGTCCACATGGATCGTTCACCAATGTGTGCCCAATGCTGTCTTTCTGATGAGCTCCTTGCAGGAAAACTAGGGGGGAGGGAGAATGATATTGCTCCTTTCCTTTAGAAAGTCCAGAAAAAGAACGTGCTATATAACCATTTCATGGCTATATCACTCCTGCCTGTTCTGGAGCCACCTACAGAGAAATGTGGCTGCCCTAAGGTCTGTATTTAGGTCCCTTCTGGAATAATACCTGCCTTAGCCCTGGATAGAAATCCCCCTCCTCCAAATCCCAGTGGAAGTAGTAGCCATGATCTTCAAACTTCATAACCCCTATGGCCAATCAGAGAGACCTACCTTGAAATGCCCTTTTCCTGAGATCTGTGGTCTGAAACCTTTCCTGACATAAAGGCATTTTCCCCAGAGCAGAGTGCCCACCTCACTGCAGAATTATCGATAGCAGAGGGACCATCTTCCATGCCAAACTGTTTACCCAACCCTATTTTTACCAAAGCTACAGACTGCTGGAATTTTTCACCATATCTTTCTTTGAGGAAGCTTTTTATTTTATCAAATCAGACTTTTCAGCTTTCTTTTTTTTTTTTTTAAATAATTTATTTCAAGTTCAGAAACAGAGCTGAACCTTCCCGTGGATCCAGTCCTTTCTAAAGAAGGCACCTTGCAGGTGCTCACTGGCTGAAACTTGACATAAGAACTCCAGAGAGAAAGATCTAATAAACCACCTATATTATTCTGGGCAGTCAGTCTGATGCAAAATAGGCTGGTGTCTGCCCAGTCCAGTTACCATAGATGCTTTACTGAATATATTATTTTGATGGCCCGCAGCTGGTTTTCATCACGCAGCTAGGTCTTTCCACAACCTTATACAGAAAGTACAGAGGGAATAATTACTTTTCAACAGATTCGCAGAAATGAAAGATGGAAAATAAGTCCCCGTCTGCTGAGGCCAAGGCCTGTCCTTACTGACGTACTCTAATGCTTTGTGCATTTTGATTAAGTGACTTTACAAGAGATTTCAAAACACTACCAAAGGTCCAAAAAGATGTTGGAAATTTTCCTTGCATTTGTAATAAATTCTTTTTTTGCTAGATTTTGGCCCACGCAATGTGAAGAGATTCATGTGGTGCCAGTTTTATTAATACAGCTGTAGTTAGACAAAGATCTGCAGCTCACACATGACACGTCACTTCATGCGCACAAACGCCACATATGAAACTGCATAACACACTTGCCTGCAAAATCATTCAGTTTAAATACAGCAAGGACACGTATATTTTTCTGCAAGAAGCAGAAATTATCGCTGACCTGACTGCAGATTCACTGAATTCAAAAGTGATCTTCCCATCGGCTTCAGCACACAGCAATTCAGCTCCCTACTAACCAGGAGAAGCTTTACTGCTGTCTAATTAGGAATCTCTCATTTGGTGACCAGAGCTGTTGGATTTGGCTAGCAGATATGGATAAAATCAGATGCTTTTCTGCGTCAATGCAGAGCCCAAGTTCTTATGTGTAAAGCATCCTGTACAAAGCAACTTTCATGCAATGCTTTCATGTTGTTGGTTTGTTGTTGTTTTGTTTTTTTTTTTTAATGGATTTTTTACCTTATTCTACACCTGTAGAATAAGAAAAACCTTAGGGTCTTAAATATGTACCCTAGGAACTGACCCTTCACTGCCTCATCAACTACCAAGCATTAAATAGCCATTACAGTTGAAAACCACAGAGAAGAAGATGGATCATCATCCAACACATGGTTAAGCTGAGGAACACTTTGCCACATGCTTTTGTGGTTGCCAAAATTGGTGAAGATGAAAATTCATGAACAAGTTTTTGAATTAAAAACCAAAAAAACAGTTGATGGTTATTAATTGCGGGAAGACCAATTCTGGCCAGGAAGTCGCTGAACTGCAAAGTATTAGAGGATTTGAGAGCATTTAGCAGAAGTATCAGATTTGCTTACCCTATTCTTACAAACATCCACTCTTAGCCACTGCTGAAAACAGCATTCTGTGATAAACAGGCCGTTGATGTGACTCAGTGTGGTCGGTCTTAGATTTCTACTGCGTCTATGTACTAGTTTCTGTGATCTTCAAAATGCACCAACAATTCTGGTGACCTTTCTCACCAACCATTGATAACAGAGTAGGGTCCTTGAGATGTGTTGAGTCATATGAAACAAGACTCAACAGGCAGAGGTGGATGAGAAACGGAATTGGCATTTGTAAGACATTTTGAGATTTTTCATCCCAACCAGCATTAAAACAGCACAATCTGAAGCACGATGTCTCAAGTGTCGCTTTGGCTACACTGTAATTTAAACATCTGACTTCAACATGAGAACACAAAACAAAGCAATACATTCAAAATAAACCCCATGAAATATTAAAAAGACAAAGCATTTTAACGTTTCAGAACTTGTTTCAATTTGACCAATTTTCCATGTCCAACAAGTGTTTCCCATTAGAACATATATGACCAAGGAACAATTTTCGAATAGCAGCAGATACAACAGCTGCTACCAGATTAATAGAAACAGCTGCACATTATGTGAAATAATTTACATTCTGCTAACCTTTAAAGAGGTATTAGCAACTGACCCCAAAGTTATAGTGAAGTTTTCAACTATTTTTAGAAAGTGAGTAAGAAAATAATTAAAGACAGCAGGTGCACCACTTTCTACTGTTCTGGTGATGCAAAGTGGTGATAAACATTGTCTAAATAATAAATTATATAAAACTCACGGTTATTGTTCCTGCAGCATAGCTTCTGGAGCATATGAATGAACCTGGTCTAGTCCTTTATTTAAGAATAAATTGTAGTAGTTGGTAGACCAAACATTTACATCTTCCAAGGAGCAAAATGTACTTTTCTGACAAATTGGAATAGCGATAACATTAACAGAGTATGTACAGATCTTAGGTCTTAAATGACTCTTGATAAACGTTGTCACAAAGGATGGCGAAAGACCTGCCAGCCTTTTAGCAGAGTGTTTCAAGGATTCCAGCTAGTTACAAGATGATGTGAAGAGCTGATATCAGTCTATTCTCCTCACTGATGGCATTTATCACAGAATCACAGAATCTCAGAATGGCAAGGGTTGGAAGGGACCTCGGGAGATCATCTAGTGCAACCGTCCCGCTAAAGAAGGCTCGCCCAGAGCAGGTTGCACAGGACATCGTCCAGGCGGGCTTTGAATATCTCCAGAGAAGGAGACTCCACAACCCCCCTGGGCAGCCTGTTCCAGTGCTCCTCCTCGTAGGGGAGGTGCTCCAGTCCCTTTATCATCTTTGTTGCCCTCCTCTGGACTCTTTCTAGGAGTTCCTCATCTTTCTTGAACTGGGGAGCCCAGAACTGGACACAGTACTCCGGGTGGGGTCTCACCAGGGCAGAGTAGAGGGGGAGGATAACCTCCCTCGCCCTGCTGGCCACACTCCTCTTAATGCACCCCAGGATACCATTGGCCTTCTTGGCAACAAGGGCACACTGCTGGCTCATGGTCAGCTTGTCGTCTACCAGGACTCCCAGGTCCCTCTCGGCAGAGCTGCTTTCCAGCAGGTCAGCCCCCAGCCTGTACTGGTGCATGGGGTTTGACCTCCCCAGGTGCAGCACTTGACACTTGCCCTTGTTGAACTTCATCAAGTTCCTCTTTGCCCAACTCTCCAGCCTGTCCAGGTCCCGCTGAATGGCAGCACAGCCTTCCGGTGTGTCAGCCACTCCTCCCAGTTTTGTGTCATCAGCTGAGGGTACACTGTCCCCTCATCACTGCTCTCCTGGTCATTACAATTATCACATGTTGCTGAATACCTTTATCCATAAAGAAATTAACTGACTAATATAGAACAGGATGGAAGATGCAGTCTGCATAGATCCAATTGCTTACATGGGGTAAATAAACTATATTTCTATCTATTCACTCCCCTATGTACTGGTTCTGGGTTCTGCAGCCAGCTAGAAAATGTGAGAACACATATAAAGTGCAACCTTAGTCTTCCAACTAAAAAGAAAGTTAACAGTCCTTGAAACGTGGAGATTACATAGTAGGCACAGAACACACGGAGGATATAATCAGGGCCGTACTGACTTACATACATATGCAGAAAAACACAGATATAGATTGGCTTGCGTGACTCTGTATATTTAATGCAAGTTGGAACCATTAGATCCTCCTACCTGAGCATCACGTACAGCACAAGGATAAAAATTTGCTCAGTTGGGAGATGAAATCAACATTTTTAGAGGTTTCCGCTCAGCTGCCCTAATCTGTGACTGCTCAAAGCTAATATCCCTGAAGGTCTGTCATGGGAATTGAAGTTAACGGGTTCAGGCTTAACCGCTCCATATGCCATGTAACAGTGCATTATGGCACCACTTGCCATTCCCTTAACAAACTGCTTTGTTTCTCACTTAGTTTCAACCCTCTGATGGCCGCACTGGGAATGAGTATGAAGTGCTCCAGGAAGTGGTAAATCTGTCTCAGTCCACATGAATAAGCATTCAAGTGAATGCCATAAACCAGTCATTTCCATGGGCAAGACATTGAGCACAAATGTTCAGCATAGTCTCTGCTGCAAGCATCACTGAGAGACCTCAGCCTTTAATTTTAAACATATCAAACATAAATGTTTTTCTAGCACATAAGTGGTGCCTTCCGTCTTTCGATTTAATTTTTAATAGTAAAGGTTTTAACAGGCATAAGCACAGTGTTGTAGTGGGAGCACAGAGACACCCAACACAACCAAATGCCAGTAAGCCCATACAGAACAACATGGTGCCAACTGGATTTACCACCTTCAGGTCTGGTTGCAGTCTGAAGGTTTTACTCTCACTCCTAAGACTCGACTGCTTAGAGTTTATAAAACTTGCATGCATCTCCAATCTAAGGTGATAAGATTTGCATCACGTCTCAAGCTTGCTTTCATCCAAATGGCTGAAAGTGTCTCCTCACCATTTACAGGATCAGCATTAATAGAGCAAGACCAGGATTAATACAGCATGCCCTTGGCTGAATTTGCCAGCACAGCTATTCCCAGGAACTGGTGGAACAAGTCAGAAGGAGTTAAATTTTTTTATCCCCCACTCTTTGCATCTGATTAGACTGAAATCAGTCATCCTAAAGGAGATGGAAATGAAGAACTTTGCCACTTCCATACATTTGCCACAGAACCTTTTAGCTGTGGCATTTATTTACCCAGATGCATGCATGGTTCTCTCTACAGAGCTAGACACATCCATGGATGGATATTCACCCCAGGGAGGTTTGGTCCCCTCTTTGTAGAGGAGATCAAATAACTTGGTTGTAGTCAGAGGCAAACTAGGAACTACGCCTTGGTTCCCCAAGTTGAGTTCAGTGCTCTGTCTACCAGCTAAGCCCTCCCACCTTAGTACATCAGTAAAACCAACTTTGGGTTTTCTCAGAAAGATGCAAGTCAGATCTATCTCAAGGGAACCCTTAAAATGAATAAAGTAGAAAAGTGGGATACAGCATGGGTTGTTTCAAATCCTTCTTCTAGGTCTATTGTGGGGAGAGGACAGTTAGTACAGACCAAAGAACCCTAATGACATTATGACAGAGGAAATGGGGCACAGATTTCTTGGTAACAATGACCACCCACACCCGTTTCTGCCACTGTACCTAAAAACATCTGTGGCCTACTCAGGACTTTATCATCTGATTTTGACTGCAACCATGAGTAGTCATGGCTATGATGTAGAAACGCTCTTGACGACCTGGAAAATGCATGTTCTTAAATAGCTCAGTGATGAAGGAAGCATTGCACTTTCCTAGCAATTTATATAGTAAGTGCATGGACAGAAAGTAATCAGGAAACTTTAACCTTGCAGCAAGTCTTTCAGAAAACAATCTGAAGACAGGAATACAGACTGGTCAAAACAGTCATATTCCCTCAAGCCCTAAAAATCTGAAGACACAGGAACATAGAAATAGAGGAAAATGTGCATTAAAAATCATCAGTTCTTACTGAGAACATGAAAACAGCTTAAGGAAGTCAAAAGGAGAAAACAAAAAATAACCACCTACCATGAACATTATGAATTTTCTGGAACAGAGATGGAATATGACTTATGGCAGCAGCACCAAGTAAGGTAGGTACTATTATAATAGCTAGTAAAGAAGTTACCTATCCTTCTAAGTAAGGATAGGTAAACCCTGGCCAAAGGAGATCAGGTCTCCAACAGTAAGAGATTTTAAAACAGCTCTCTCAGGGTGAGTTGCACCAACTTTCTGAGTCCCCTTCCAATCCTATTTTCTGTGGGCTTTTAAATAAAGACATTCCAGATTTTCTTTTTGGAAGGACAACATTTTACTGCTGAGCTCTCAGTTACAAGTGTTTTTCCTTTTCATTTCAACTTGACAGTGCTTACTTTTTGCACTTGTGGCTTTCATTAACAAAATGATTTATTGCATAATTTCTAATACACCATGGAATTTCATTTCAGTTTTGCAGACAGCTGTCATGTGGAAATAGTGGTAAAGGAAAGAATTTCACTTCCTAGTCTTCATCACATGACTTGTAATGAGGTTACTGAGGTTTATTCCCCTCACAGAGTCTGGATCATTATCTGCAGGCCTCTAGCATCACAGTCCGTTTCCTATAACTGAGTTCCTCTTTTAATTGATTCCAAAAGACAAAGATACATGAAATAAGGGCAGGGAACTTCTGACGGAGACCAAGCAAACAATATGAACATTATTCAGGTGGTTCAAAAAGCCTTCTTTCAAAGGGGTAATTTTTTTATTAAAGCTGAGGTAAAATGGTCTATGTGTTATTGACTACCAGCAGAGAGAAGCTGGGATTGATGTTTCACTGCCTTCTAAGAGAGGAAATCCACACGGTCACAGAAAGATAGCCACAGACTTGCATTTCACTTAGATAACCCTCAAAATAATTCCTGTCATGTTACATTCTCCTGTCGATTTCTTAGCACATATCTGAGCACATTGGAACATTTAATTTAATTTGGCAGGGATCTACTATTCTCATCACAAAGAAGGACAAATGAACTAGAAGAGGCTGATAGGCTGTCTCAAGAGCAGACAGTGCCAGAGGGTTCACAAGAAGACACAAAATCCCTTTGGGTAGACCTTCATGATTTTGAGGACTTTTATGTCCAAAGTACAGCATGGGCACAATTCTTTTTTATTTCACCAGTTTATGCCCTGAAATCCTAGCCCGCACATCAGGCCAGCGCTGTTCTTAGTCACAGCTAGTCCATATTTAGAATCATCTTTACAAGAAAATGTACTTCTTAAAGGCAACAGAGAAAAAAGGTTGTCACAAAAAATGAAAAAAAAATTTGGCATGGAAAAGACTGACTTAGCCCTGCTGCACAGTGAAGAACCTAGAACCGAGTTATGAGCTTGCTTTCTTCTTGGTGATATACAGCTGAGATTGCAATATAAATAGGATTTCAGAGACAGTAAAACATACTACTGCATATTAGTACCTACTAAATCACTGCTGACCTTTCACCTTTTCCTATATCCCCCTGTAGTGTTAATCAACAAATATAATACTATTGACTGGAGATGGACACTGGCTTTGCATATTTGCATGGGGTATAATTCACAAATCATAGAAATTAAAAAGGATCTCTCCAGGCTGCATATGATTACTGTCATTGTAATAGTTATGCCATCAGTTCCTTAACAGCAAGTCTCTTCCTACCTTAATTGCCTTAGCTCTGCTGATCAACCCATCTTGCTGAGCACTTCCAATGAGCAGATCTACTTTGCGAAGTTGAGGGCGCTGCAGGGCTTTAGCTAAAGGTTCCCGAAGGTAAATTCCATCCATCACTGGACCCCAGTACTGGAATGGACCGCTTATAGCTAGGAGCTAGATTAGCAAAAAAACCAAAAATAGTGCAGTTAAATTAGCTTACCCTGGTCATTTCCATTTTACTTATGCTTCAGAAAACTGAGCTAATAGCCTTCAGGTGGACAAGTGGTCAGTTACTGTAAGTGCAAACTCACCACTGGCAGGAAACAATGCTTTTGCTGACAGTCTTGGTACATGAAACAAGCTGAATAGGCCAAGAGAATTGATGGTCTTATGAAAATATTGTTTTAAATTAGGGATTGCCTCTATGCCAATCTATCAGAAAATGTATTGCCACTGTTTTAATCTGTGGGTAAAGGATCCATCTCAATCTCTAGAGACAGAGCACTGGTATCCCTCCCTACATCCTTGTTTGCAAAAATGCAGTTACTGAAGCTACAGACACTTGATTCTCCTCTAGAGTAACACCCAGGGGCAGATGAGAGGGTACTGAAAGAAGGTCAAAACTATATTTAGATTAATTTTGGAAGATGTGGTCAAAGTAGTGTTAAAGCAATTGAGTCTGAAGAAGAATCAAGCTGTGAGTATTCGTAGGTCAAAGATGGATGTCATGGACGTCAGCATCACTCCACCAAACCTAGTCCAGTTCCTCTTTCACAAGGATTCAGCCCAATTTATTTTTTAAGCTTCCTCACAGCTTCATGTAAATGGAAACTTTTTATTTCCTTGCCAATGGCATATATTTCGCTATGATGTACCTTAGTCTGAGCATCATTGAGGACCCGAGCAGGCAACTGGCGGAGGCAGGCTACAATTTCCTCACTGGTGGATGAAGAGCATCCCACATCTTCAGCCAGGACTGCTGCTTGGGTCTGCACTCTCCTCTTAGTAATAACGGATGCTGGAGAAAAAGCTGAACCTCCCTGGAAAAGAAAAACAATAGCAGTCAACACATGCTGTCAAAACACCTGGTCCCCTGGTGCAGGTAAAAAAGATGAGAAGCAAAATCTGCTCAGTTGCAGAATGTAAAACACTGGTATTTAAATCGTAAGCAGCAAGTTCAAATGATCAAAGCAAAGGGAAGAAGGATACGTTTGACGGTTTCCATCTCTGTCACGGTTATTTTGGAAGACCTCTGAAAAATGTCTATGTTATGTCTGTAACCAAGTCACAAATCTTTCTGAAAACTTTGCTGGAAGGAGAAATATTCAGACAGGAGCGGATACAAAGAAGGTGCTGTGAGGCATATCAGGGAATGGAGAGTCCATCTTACAAGAGGAGACTAAATAGAGTTTTGCCTCCTTAACTATGATAGACTGAGAGCAGGTGTGAACTTTATAAATGCATCCCTGAAGAAGAGCTATTTATACCTTAGGACAATGCTGGTACAAGGCCAAATGGGAATTAGCTATTTACATTGAGTAAATTTAGGGTAGAAGCTCTACGATAGCTCACACAAGGAGCAGTGAGAGTTTAGAAGAGTTATGAGCAGAAGTAGTAGGAACAAAAGGCCAAACCAAGCTGCAGAGAAGCTAAACCAACCAGAGCCAGAACACATCGAAAGCAGAGCACAGGCCACAGTCCAATCTCTGCCCCAGACTCTGTTTCTTTCCTACAGCTGTGCCAGCACGGAAAAGGTCCTCACCAAGAAAAGATGGTACACCATTGTTGAGTAACCATGAAAACTACTTATTGAAATGCAGATAAATTAGCACAAATCTGATAAAATCTGACCTAGAACAGAAAGGCTGGAATACCTCTGACATGGTTCAAATTACTAATTTCCAAACATTTATATCAGTTTACTATAACTACTAAAATTAGCTTCCGTTTTCTAAAAAACCCCAAACCCTAGACACATGATATGACAGATCCTGATCTATTAAACCGATTAACTTACTTCTTACAGAATTTGCTCAAAGCATAACTACAAGTCTGAAAAAGCATAAAACCAGGAGCAAGCTAAAAAGAAACAGAAAACAAACAGCAATTCCTTAATTTGAAATTGTCTCAAACCTTTGAGTCTGAAGAACTCTGTGCAGCCCTGGCCAGCACCCAGGACATTTTTTGCATTTCAAACAAGCGGACCCATTGATACTAATTGCTCACAACTGGAAAAATTTGTTTCCCAAAATAATTAGAAAGAGGTTATTGTTTCATTGTAGAGATTTTTAGTTCACTGTAAGTAGAATTTCCAGTGCTACTACCTTCCTGAAAGGTTTCTCTTCCTTTTTAAGGGATCTGGAAAACAAGCACTGTTATTAGCTTGATGACTGAGATGCAAGTGGTTGCAGATACACAAAGGAAAAAGCTAAGACTGTCAACCCTGGGGCACTAGAAAAGCCATGTCTGGTTTTAAGAGAGCAAAGAACTAAAGAAGAAGAAATAAACACCGCTTGGTCTTATTCCTCACTTCCGCCCTCGATTTAGATGAGAACTCGAGTGAGCAATGGGCTTCATCCTCACGTGGGATTTGCGGTGGCCTATTTTGTGTTTGTAAGGCACAATATTTGCCAGCTGCTGACTAGGAGCACTGACTCAGATGGGCATGATGAAGAAAGAAAAATATCCTTGATGAGAGTATCTCTGTGTGTGGGTGCGTCCCCAGGATTTCAGAACTAGGATGAGTGAGACTAGAAGAGGGATAACAAGGCATGCCAGCTTCCCTTAGAAAAGTAGCTGCCTCACTTTTCATTTGGAGCAAGGAATTATGTGCCTCCTTGTTATAGCAGAGAAATTAGATCTAGGATTGCACAATATTTATCCACTAATCTGGCAAACATATTCTTCAACATCAGATCTGAATGTGCTCAGCATGTTTTATCAAGTATCAAGTATCTCTGAATGGCATTTATTTAAAACAAAACAAAACCATAAAAAAATTAAAGGGCTTCAGTTTCCCAAATTCTGAAAGTTTCAAAAATTTTGAAAGAGTCAGTTTCAGTGGCAATACTGAAGTTACCTTACTAAAAGGCTAAGTTTGGTAGGGGAAGAGAGTACTGAGATCAGATAACATATGGAAACCAAAAATTCACTGGGACCAAGCAAAACATCCTAGTTTGTGCTTGATTTTGAATATATCTTCTCCCAGGGATTTTAAAAGCTGTGCAAAGTTCCCCTCTCTCTGCGATCTCTACAAACTGAAAGACTGCCCTTGGGTTAAGTAATGAATCAAACAGCAGTTGCTAAATGTTCTGGATAGGAGTTTCCCACAAGTCCTCTCTGCAGAGGGAGAGCTAAAAGCCTGGACAGGCAAATTTTCATGCCATAGCACTGGATGCGTATGGGCTAACATTAGATATGGTCCAAGCTCAATGATTAAAAGAAAACCCCAAAACTTATGCAAATACATTTGCAAGGTGAGGACAGTTCTTTTTTGGAGCCTTACTCTAGCCATGGATATTTTCTCCTTTTTGCATAAGCGGTAAGAACAGCTTTACATGCTCTTTTCTATTCTGTTTTTTTCTTCTATTTTCCATGGTAATGGCCACTTCCTCATTTTGCTTTTTTTGATAACATCCACATTCAGGAAGCATGTCTTGCATTTGCGGTGTAAAAGAGATGTGGTATTCACTACTGTTATTCACATTTAAAATTTATTGGGACTGGAATCAGGTGATAGAGGAACTTGGGACATCATTCAAGAAGTATTTGGAAGCAATACTGTTATGTTCCCTCCCCTACAATTGTACTACTGTAACAAGTGATGGCATTGAAAATAGAAGGCAAAGATTTCAGTACTATTTAGTTCAGGGACCAGCAGTTTCACATGCATGTCTTTATTTATCTTTGCAAAATTAGAGGTTAAGCTAGACAGTAGAAATTCAGATATGAGGAAATGTTGCAGCTCACAGTGGTGAGAATCTGGTGAATGCAAATTGGTATTGCATGAAGATGAATTCTTGCTTTGATGTTAGGCTGTGATAGGCTGAGTTGTGGCCGGTACTTCTTGCAAACTTCTCTCTTGGGACATCATTAAAGGATAAAATCAGGCTCACTAGAGATAAGTCTGGGGGCAGCAAGCCAATGTTTGAGGGACAGTGTGCTAGCAAGGTCCTTCGATCTGCCATATCAGTGGAGGTAGGGGATGGAGATCCACATGGCAGCAAAGGCACAAGGGTTATGGATGTCTTAGAAACCATGGAATCACCTGAGAATGGTCACATAGGAATTAGGGTTTCTTCCCCCCAAAAAGGTGGTGGGATGAATAGCCCAGCTGAAGTGCATCTACACAAATGCACTCAGCATGGGCAACAGACAGGAGGAGCTGGAAGCCATTGTGCAGCTGGAAAACTATGACATACTTGCCATCACAGAAACGTGGCAGGATGACTCGCACAACTGGAGTGCTGCAATGGATGGCTCTAAACACTTCAGAAGGGATAGGCAAGGAAGGAGCGGCGGTGGGGTAGCCCTGTACGTTAGGGAGGGGTTTGATTGTATAGAGCTGAAGAATGGTCATGATAGGCTTGAGTGTTCATGGGTAAGAATCAGGGGGAATGCCAACAAGGCAGATAGCATGGTGGGAGTTTGTTATAGAGCACCCAACCAGGATGATGACACAGATGAAATATTCTATAAGCAACTGGGAGAAGTCTCAAAATCGCTAGCCCTTGTTCTCATAGGGGACTTCAGTGTACCAGATGCCTGCTGAAAATATAACAGAACAGAGAAGAAACAGTCTAGGAGGTTCCTGCAGTGTGTGGAAGATAACTTCCTGACACAGCTGGTAAGTGAGCCAACTAGGGAAGGTGCCCCGCTGGACCTGTTGTTTGTGAACAGAGAAGGACATGTGGGTGATGTGACAGTTGGAGGCCATCTTGGGCACAGCGATCACAAAATGATAGAGCTTTTGATTCTCGGAGAAGTAAGGAGGAGGTAGTTGGCAGAACTGCCACCTTGGAGTTCCAGAGGGCAGACTGTGGCCTGTTTAGGAAACTGATTGACAGAGTCCCTTGGCAGGCAGTCCTGAAGGGCAAAGGAGTCCCAAAAGGTTGGGCATTCTTCAAGAAGGAAATCTTAAAGGCTCAGGAGCATGCCATCCCCATGTGCCATAAGGCAAGCTGATGGGGAAGAAGACCGGCCTAGCTGAAAAGAGAGCTTTGGCTGGAACTCAAGAAAAAAGGGAGAGTTTATGAACTTTGGAAGAAGGGGCAGGCAACTCAGGAGGACTACAAGGATGTCATGAGGTTATGCAGGGAGAAAATTAGAAGGGCCAAAGCCCAACTAGAACTTAAGCTGGCTACTGCTGTAAAAGACAAAAAAAAACCTGTGCATAATCCATAAATACATTCACAGCAGAAAGATGGCTAAGGAGAATCTCCATCCCTTATTGTATGCAGGGGGAAAAAGTGACAAAGGATGAGGAAAAGGCTGAGGTACTTAATGCCGTCTTTGCCTCAGTCTTTAACAAGACGAGTTGTTCTCTGGGTACCCAGCCCCCTGAGCTGGAAGACAGGGATGAGGAGCACAGTGAAGCCCCCATAATCCCAGGGAAAATGGTTAGCGAGCTGTTACACAACTTAGACACACAGAAGTCTATAGGACCAGATGGGATCCACCCAAGGGTACTGAGGGAGCCGATGGAATTGTTCACCAAGCCACTTTCCATCATTTATCAGCAGTCTTGGCTAACCGGGGACGTCCCAGTTGACTGGAGGTTAGCAAAAGTGATGTCCTTCTACAAGAAGGGCTGGAATGAGGATCCGGGAAACTACAGGCCTGTTGGTCTGACCTCGGTGCCAGGGAGAGTTATGGAGCAGATCATCTTGAGTGCCATCACATGGCATGTTCAGGACAACCAAAAGATCAGGCCCAGTCAACGTGGGTTTATGAAAGGCAGTTCCTGCTTGACTACCCTGATCTCCTTCTATGACAAGGTGACCTGCTTAGTGGATGAGGGAAATGCTGTGGATGCCGTGTA